GGTTCCCACTTCCTTTCGAGGATCGCCGTCCGGTTTGAGTTTATTTTTCTGTATTGAACTATCTTTGAAGAGACTCCTCCGGGCCTTGGGCCTCTTGTCTTAAATATATTGAAATTGAAAGACCCGGATTACGTACGCGTATGAGCCTTCTTTTCGACCGGCCCTTACGTGCGATGTAGAAAGGGTTAATTGCGATAAATGAAAGGCCTATGCTTATCTTCCAAGATTTTGTCACACTGTTTAAGATATCCCGACGTATCCCAAATAACAAATCGAGCTCGACAGTTAGAAAAGTCGATCTCGAAGAAGAGTATATATCTATTATCCCAAATATTTGGGATAGTAGTACGTAATAAACTGTGGCCCGGATTCTTTCTTGTTGTCTCTAGTGTGCTATGTGTCCTAAAAATGCACAATTATCGCTTGGACGCTTACGTTACAAAGGTCTTGCATACCACAGAATAATTTCTTCACCCCATTTTATGATTGATCTTAATGCAAACCGCTAGTCGTTGATATTCTTAATGCAATTTACTACAGCAAGGGTGTCAGAGCTTCGAAACAATACATGTACAATTTTGCAGGAAAATCTTCCTGCTGTTGTTACCCAGCCTCAGTATTACAATGTTATCTTTTCATGGTTGCGGCCTGGGACCTGAACTTCAGGTGTGCGAGCGGACATCTAGAACAGTTGCTGCATTGCTCCGTGAATCCGAAAACTCTCCCGTCCTGGGAACTTAAATACTGACTCATTGTTGTCGTCCCGTCTCGCATTTTTGTAATTTTTCAGTGTCCGGATTGTTTGGCTGTCGTAATTTTACTGTGCGAAACTCAGGCATTACGCATTTAGGGACGGATACCAGTTAGACCTGCAAAGGTAGTGATAAGAACATGTTATAACCTGTAGGTTTAACTGGGATATATTCAGTATGTATGACGGCAAGGTCATCATGGGAACTGTACGCCAACAGATATTGGAAGCCCACGTCGGTGACACTGTCCAATTTAACGGTGTTCGTAACAATTTAGTCTTTCCCGTATGAAGGTCCCAATTCAACGCGTTTAATTAGGTGTCCTTTCGAAGTTTTGGCTGACTAAACCCAACTACACTAGCCGTTGACCACAGGGTGGGAGGTTGACAGCCATTTCTTTCGGTTGCGTACATTAATTGTCATTACCGCACAGGCCCATAGCTGATGCTTGAGTATTATAAAAGTCTGCCTTCATTCGTACGCATGATAACAGGTCATTAATTGTCTCCCGCTTAGTTCTCCCATCGTCTAGCTTGCTGCAAGCAATTTCTTAGTTCGTACGTCCCCAGGGGACGATCGTCATACCGTTTTGTAGATACCACCGTGACAGATGGAGAAGGGACCGTTCACTCCGGGCTCACGAGTCCCCGAGGGACTGAACCTGGACTTCAGGAATCGGTTGGTCAACAAACTCTCACACTGTTCTGTTAAAGACCGTCCATCATCAAATGTTCGATACCCGAATCGATGAAGGTTGGTTCATTCCAATATCCGATCCCAGTGTTAGAACTGTTGGTCTATTCGTTTTGCAGCTCGAATAACTGTTGATAATGCAATATTAATGCTGTGCTGCGTTTCGTCACCTGAATAGACGCACCCGAGGTCAGTAGCTATGTCAAAGGACAGTAAGGTAACTCGGTTATTCTTTATGTGCTTAGACGAGCAGTCGGGCATGACGCAGACACGTTGCTGCCAGTTTATAAGGGAATAACTACATGAAGCAGGAATCCACGAACCAGGGGCGAATAAGAACACGACGCAAGGAACAAAGAGCGTGGGAAGTGGTGAATAAGCACACGGGAATAAAGCTCGCAGTGTGTCAGCGAATGGGAGGGTAGCCAACGAGGTCAAGGGGTCAGAACATGTGACAAGGCACGTGGACAGGATGAAAA